TTTCGTTATCAACGGCGATTATACTGGATGCGAAGCGCTTCTCGCATCTGTTGCCTCTGCGGGACTCTTTACTACTTCGCTGCTTTCTGAACAGCCTCACGCCCTGTGGACTCGCCTGAACGCTGTTGATCCGGACGGCGATGCACCGAGCGCACGCAGCGGGCATGCGATGTGCATAGACCACGAGAACGGGCAGATATACCTATTCGGCGGCTGGGACGGCCAGAAGAACCTAGACGACTTCTGGGTCTTCAACGTCCAGGCGGAAGCGTGGAAGATCATCAGCTACGCAACTCAGCGAGATGTCAATGGACCCGGCCCGCGATCTTGTCACAAGATGGTTTTCGATACTGCGACAGGTGACATTTACGTCTTTGGACGGCTGGACGAGGGCACTTCAGGAGACATTGGGGAGATACCAGCTACCAGTGTGCACTCGAGTGGGTTTGATGCTCCAGTTACTTCGCCTGTCAGCCCTCGGCAGTCACCCCCTGGACCTCTCAGTAGCTCGCGCTCGTCTGTCTGGTCGAGTCGCGGTGCGCAATTTTATCGATATCATACGAGAGGACGTGACGCGGGGAAATGGGAATTATTTTTCAGGGATACCTCGGTGAGTATTCCTTATGCGCGTTCATCCAAGGACGCACCGCCGAGGCTTTCATTTTCAGGCAGCCGGTGGGCCCCCTCTTGTTTTCGACCACCAGATGACGATAGACTCTGGAGCGCAAGTCATCTATGTTTCAGGCGGCAGGGTTGTGGATGGCGACTGGGATTCTTTGAAATTCTCTGGTCTCTACAGCTACGATATCAGGAAGAACAAGTGGAAAATGTGCCAGTACGAGCTGTTCTCCGGTTTGCCCTTACCGTGACTGACCGCATACTAGACCTCCCGAACCTTCAGCTGCATACCCATGCCTGCCTTCACGTTTCGGTATATTTCTTTCCTCAGCATGTATTTACTCTTTTAATTGGACGTCGCCACCAGGTCATTCGATGGTCTTCGACCAGAAGATGCAGACGCTGTTCATCTTTGGGGGACAGAGAGAAGACAAATATCTCTCGGACATGTACGCCTACCATATTCCGTCAAATACGGTGACGGAGCTATTCTCGAACTTCTCGTCCGCTGGGGGCCCGGACGCATGCTTCACTCAGCGTGCGGTTCTTGATGCTGACCTACGAGAGATCTACGTGTCAGTGTGTTGCTTCTCTAACCATCAAGTCGCTGACAGTCCGGGTATCGTAGATTTTGCGGTTTGACGCGAAACAGATCTCATACGGACATTGTACTCGAGAGCGACTCGCCGTACTGGATTTACAGGTATGAGCGCCCAGAGCGACCAGGGAAATGGACGAAGATCCTTCTGGCGGAAGGCAGCTCCCCAATGTCACCAACTATTACACCGCTCGCTCGATACGCTCACCAAGTTGTCTATGACCCCACGACGAGGACGGCTTACATGCACGGCGGCAATGCCTGTTTGGAACCTACTTCGGAAGATGGCCAACCTCGCTTGTCGTCTGTCAGGGCTACTGCAGGCAGCGGAAACAGGGTTGCGTCCGAGGAGCGTATTGAGGACGTTGGGATGGGGCATAGCAAGGACCGACTGGACGATTTCTGGAAGATGAGCCTAATACGGTCAGGCTTTCCTTCAATTTTGAAGTATCGTGTATTGAATGGCCTGATAGACCATCTGCGGACGATATGGTACGAAGAGGGAGGTACCTGATACGGCAGCAACAGTAAGTTCTTATCTTATGTGATGTCTTCGTTCAGCTCATCGTTGCTCAGGTTCCGAGAGCTTTGTGAGGACTCGACACCCATCAAGGCACTCTCCTACCTCCAGACGGAAGTGTCGGCCGTGGTCGATCACAACGATGCGGAAGAGACGAAGGAGTTCCGTGCGCTGCTCGCACATCTCTTGTCGCCCGCGGGTACCGAGACACCCTTGACAAAAAAGCGTTTGCGCGAGGAGGATTCGCCCACGGCTCCACCCAAGAGCTTTGATGATGACGAGCCTATGACCGACGCACACGCTATCTCTCCGCCCGAGCCGCGGTCTGTCGTCAGCATGCAGGAGGATCCGGCGGAGCAGAAGCTGGATAGGGCGTGCCCCGCGTCGCCCGAGCGGTTCAGGCAGCGGACGGGAGTGTTCGAGCAGCTGATGGCCTTTGTGAATTCCGACGCGAAGCAGCCTGACAAGGACCTCATCAGACTCATTAATGTGGACTCTGCAGATGTGTATTAGTAAAGACACGCGTTTACTTTACGAGGAACCGACAGTCACGAACACTATACTATGAGATGTCGGCGTGCATGTCGGCCGAGAGCGGCGCGGAGTCGGTGCAAGTTTCGTTCGCTGCTCTTCAGTCGTCCAACGTTGTCTTCCGGTTGGAAGATTCCCTAGCTTACCATAGATTATGTCTCGACACAGCGGCCTGAGCAGTTTTACGACAAGCTCTGGTATCTGGTCTCGACTTATTCCAACACCACTCTGCTCGAAGGTGCCGCGCCGTAGACTGGGCGCATCTCATTCCACGCTCTGATGCAGCACGACGATACACAGTGCGTTTTATGGCGCACATATACCCTTAGCTCGTTTCACTCTATGGTCGGCTTGGAGAATTGAGAATTGAAACTTGTCACAAGTCATTGCCGCGAAGATCTGGTTTCGACATCCTCCGAAAGCGGTGTTCCTCGCATGTACCATCGTATAAGCAACTCACTTGCACAGTGGACATGAGCTTTCATGGCCTTTTCCTCGCCACCGAGGCTCTGCACGAGGACACGTATACCGAAGAGCAATTGTGGTGCTACCGCAAACTGCTGCTTCGCTCCATGAGTAGCGGTTACCTTGTTCAGAGCAAATAAGACGATTATGTGTCAAGTATGAAGATAGAGAACCGTTCTTCGAGCTTCTTCTATCATGGACTGCCCAGCTTGAGGGCTATACGAGACCCTACACAGGAAAAATCGCAAAATGTAGATCATCCGGCTATTCTGCTAGTAAACTGATGGGGGCACACACATGTTGCGCCCCCAACAGTGGTCCAAACCTCTTCCTACCTTCGCCATTCACCTTCTTGAGCTGGCTGGAACGCCCCACCAAGGCTTTGCACTCCTTTCGTCTGGGGTCGGGCGCACCTTCCACCGACGCTGAAGTGGGGCCGTACGCAAAAGCCTGCCCCTGCGTTCCTAGTCTCAAAATGATTTTTGCCCCAAACAGGAACGAGTCGCCGCAGATAAAGCACCCCGACGATGCTCGACTGCAGCTGCCGACGCTGTTCCCAAAGCAAGGTCGACTGAAGCCATGGGTCGAGTGGTGTCGCGCCTGTGTGTGTCGCCAGCGCGATGGTCGTGTGACCTTACGCTGGGCAACCTTACATTCCATTTCTCGTTCTCTCGACGATCGCAGAACGGTTCTACCGGTGGCTCTAAGGTGGTGAGTCGCCTCGACTGCTCGCGATTGCATTAGCGTCGCAATTGCTCTTCATTCGCACGATGCTCACCTCGACTCACTGTCCAGCCGGAAAACAGCGCTCGTCCGCAGAGACAGAGCTTCATCGGGCACGAGCGTATGTGGCGACAGACGTTGGCGCTGTGAGTCCGACCATTCTTCGGCGAGGTTGTATGTGCAGACTCATGGAGGCAGTTTACCATTACCGCACGCTATGTTGGGCTGACCCTAGGGCCGGAGCGCGAAGCCCGAAGAATTGCGTTCTCGCTCGGCGCTGTTGCCTTCATTATGCCATGACCTTTGTTTCCAGCCCTTCCCATTGTTGCTCTTACCTCTGCCAACTTCACGACCTTGACATGATGTACACGTATTGCTGCCAGTTCTCGACACCAAGAAGTACTTTGTCTTACGTCTGTCTGTCCTGTTGCAATGTGTTCCAATCCGGTGTACATTCAGAATGACCCATGGAGACTCACTAGCATAGAAGAAGAAGATATGATACGTTTACGGTTATTTTCACCAGGTGCGACGGCAGGTTTGGCACTTCGTGAGGTTCACGCATCGACCAATGAGAAACATCCAAA